GGAGTCGGAGACTCTTGCTGTAAGGTGGGAGATTTGCACTTTGTAGCACGATTCACCAATTCTCTAGAAAGATCAAAGCCACCTGCCTTGTGATATGGGAAGGGTTGCAAGTAGAGAGTCTGATGCTGGAGTTAATAGTACGCAGTGGATGAACAGGACTTGACATGGTCAAAGGAAATGCCAGGGGATTCATGCAGAGTATGTAGAGATTCAGGGACCAGCTGTGAGAGATACAGTAGCAGTTATTTCATGGCTAGGGATCAGTTTTGGAAACGTTTTCTTAGACTTTCACCTCTGAATTCCAAAGCGAAGACCGACCCTCCGCCTTGATGCTAACTCCAGCTCCAAGCCCGTGACCCGTCACCGCGCGATGATCTATTAGCCTCTTTTTCCATCCATCCATTTTCAAACTCATTCTCCCAATCCAGGTTTTGGGAGCCGAAGCCTATCCTGGCAAGCAGTGGTGCAAGGCAGGGAGCCGTATTTTTCCAAATTACTCATGTCTTTTTCTCTGGTGGAGTTAAGCAAACCTCCTCCTTGAGGTTGATAAAAAAGCACCCAAAAACATGCAGCTACATTTTATCATGCATTTGAGTATAGCAATATTGTTTCCTATATTTTGTGAGTCAGAAATCATGTATGTCTTGTTCTGTACCTAAACTTAGTAATTAACAAGTGATGAGCTGATTTCATTGACTATTCTTGAGGGCCAGAAGGCTTTGTAACCCCTGCACAGAGCACTTTGGGTGATTAGGGGGATTAGCGCTGTTTCCGACAGGATGACGGGCGGCCCTTTCTGAGCGCTGTGTCTTTGAAGTGGTTGGTGGCGTTGGTGTCCTGGTCTGGCCTTAGCTTTGGGGAGTAGCAGGGGAGACGGCACACAGAGCCTTTGTTTGGCAGATGGTCCTTCACCAGCTCCATCGGGGGGCACTGAGGAGGCCTGTGACAGCGAGAAGATACGGTTTCAAGCGCAGCACTGAGAGAAATCAGAAGCCCGCTTCCCTGGGAAGGAGCGGAATGAAGCCACGAGGCCCTCTTTGTTTGTTTCTCATATATTCCCAACCCTCCGGTATTTCGTTCCGCTTTCACAGCCTGCTGCCCTGGCGGGAGAGGGAAGAGGGCGCCGCACGTGTGTCATCGGAGATCTGCTGGGCTGCTGACCCAATACTGAGCGACCGGATCAGACAAAGAGCAGGCTCTTTTGTTTTCACCAGAGGGCAAGTTCTGCTCTGACTGGAAATGCTCAGACACACCATGGCCTAACCAGGAAAAGAGGTTCCTCTGGGCTCCTGTTTCCTGGGCGGCCACACTCACATGCTCACCACTGTTCCCAGATCCTCCAGCCAACCCTGTTGGTGACAGCAGCCCCGGTTTTCTTGTCACTGTTTCCAGCTGGCCCTCACATTCCAACGATTATCTTTTGGAAAAATGTAGCAAAAGTCACTCTGGAGCTAAATGTATTCTTATCTGCTGTTAAACTCAGAAGAACACACAAGAGCATCTATCCCACGCAGCAGACTAGATGGCAACACTGTTACATACCAAATAATTGTATCCTACAAAGTATGAAAATATTCCTTATGCACATATACTCCAAATAGGTTTCTTGCTTTCTGAGTACATGATGACTTTCTAGAATCCTTTCTTTCTGAAAATGGATGGAATGGATGCCGACAGTGTTTATGCATTTATTAATATTTATTTAAACCTGATTTACAAAGGCTAGCTCCTACTGCCAGTGCACAAATGGATTTTGTTGAAAATTTGACCGATTGATTTCACCATTATTTAAATATTAAATATGCAGTCTTATTCTTAAAACCATAAATACTGTAAAATCGTTTTGACTACAGAAAATTCCTATAGCATTTAAAGACAGAACTCTGTGTAATGTGTCTACACTTTTAACGTCTTCAGGAATGGGGAGAATTTTGAAAACTAACTAAACTATAAACTAAAACAGATGCACCTCACTCACACTCAAAAAACGTGACCTGCACGTTTGCGCCGATACGAGATACTGTCGTACTGTCTGTTCTAGCGTGGAAGGAATCCAGTTGAGTTTATCTTGAGAAGTCAGTCTACTGTAGACACTCTTCACCGGAGTGCACCTGCCTCAGTGCAGGCTTGCGCGCTCCCGAAGCGCGCCGCCCCGGCCGCTGTGCCTGCGCGTCCGTGAACGCGCAGAAGAGGTCGCTCACTGACGGAGAAACGCAGTCGCTGGAGAAGGTCGCGCTGCTTCTTCCTGCATTTCCCGTTTCCGTGGAAACCGCATGGAGGTGCGGGATTTTGGGGAACCTCATGAGCTAGGGGCTGTAATACCCATGTAACGCCAGACACAAAACAACGGCAGTGATGATAATATTAAGATGTCAGAAGAAATGGAGCAATCTTTATTTATATGACGTCAAATTTTATAATTAAACGTATGCCCCTCTCTTTCGATGTATGTTTCTGTATTAGTGGGACATCACGACATCACGAGTTAATTCAATCATCTCGAATACCCAGCCGTATTTCACAGCTGGGTCTGTTTTTCTTTTGGAAGCGCCCGGAGAGTTATCTGGGCTGTCTCCAGCACCTCCTATTTTTAACTTCTCTCCCTGGATAATGAGCGGCCAGGGCTTGCTGTATTTCTGTTGCACTTCCCAACTATAAAATGCTCGTTTGAAAGTCAGTACAGATGTCTTCGCGATGGCCTGCTGTCAGATCGGGCTGCCTCTGTCATTGACACCGTGTTCT